CAGGGTTAGGTTTAGGGTTAGGGTTAGGGTCAGGGTTAGGGTTAGGGTCAGGGTCAGGGTCAGGGTTAGGGTCAGGGTTAGGGTTAGGGTTAGGGTCAGGGTTAGGTTTAGGGTTAAGGTTAGGAATCGTTTTTCTTTTTCGTATAGACAGTAAAGTTTCGTTTCCACCTCAGAAAGCTGCTAGTCACAAGACCTAATCAAAATGGCCGACTTGGATGTGGGAGGAGTCGGATTTCTGAAAAATAGTGAAATGAATCTTGCAAACACTGAACTAAACTCTATCCATAATATTATGTTAAAATAGAGGATGTTAAACAGGTTTGTTCAATAAGTCCAAACAATATATCCAACTCCCCCACATCCAAGTCGGCCATTTTGATTAGGTCACCAATAGGAAGAGCCCACGCAAGAAAATAGTTATTGCTTCAATATAGACATTGATTTAAAAATAGTGAAATTAATCTTGCAAACACTGAATTAAACTGAATTAAAGCTGCTGACTGTTAGGACTTTCGATGGGTCAAATTCTCTTTTAAAATGTTTTTTTTCCGTCATGAATATCCTTAAATCTTCATTTCTCTGTCAGCAGCATGACCGCACACGTGCGCTTTCTACTGAGCTGGAGGGGAACACTGAAGCCCACTTTCTGCTGTTTTAACTCTCAGTCATCACTTTCTCTGGCACTCAGGGGGACGCTTTCACACGCAGAAAAACACACACCCTCCGAACTATTTTAGTCTAAAATGGGCACCGGCCTGGCTTATTCATGAGTGCGTTTTCTTTTGAAAAGTCTTTGGTTTGGGGCCTGAGCAGTGAAAACAGTTTAACCCCATAATGCCAAATGTGTCATATCTGATCCGGTTTCTTTTGGATCTGAGCCTTTTTGCATCATTCAGTGGTAAAAGCTTTGCTCAAACCCCTGTTGTACACATTCAGATATACCTGATAACAGCCAGTAGAAGACTACACCAACATATATTTTTGACTTATTGCACGCTAATTTGATCAAAATCATTTCTGTTTTTTTTCTTCAGATGTTGTTGAGGGGCCAAAGAAAGACTTCAGACTAAAAATATCCAATATTCTTCCTATTTTTCTCGGATCAGGCTGTAAAGGGTTAACCTTTAAAGCCTGATCCAAGAATAAAAAACAACAGAAAATTTAATTTTTTTAGTTTGAATTCCTTTTTTGGCCTTTTAACAAAATATGTAAAAGAAAACACAAAAATATATTTTTAATATTGATAATTTATCACTATGCGATAAGTCCAGATTATTTTTTGTGTAGTCTTATGCCCCCTGTTATCAGGTGTATCTGATTGTGTACAATAGGATTTTGAGCAAAGTTTTTACCATTAAATTATGCAAAAGGTGTCAGACGCAAAACATTTCAGAAACCGTATCAAATATGATACATTTGGCATTACAGGGTTAAGTTAATTTTTAATGACCAAGTCTTTCTAATTCTCTCTCCCCTGGCTGAGTCCAGCCGTTATACGCCACAAAGTGAAGGGAGGGTTTCTTAGGGCCCAAATCTTAATACGGGATTAACTGCTCCATAGGTCAAACACTGACACGACATTAAATTAAAATCATGTCTCCGGGTGTCAGGATTCCCAGCTGTGAGCAGAGAGAGAGAGGCCACATCCAGCCGTATGACGTAATATTACGTAATGACGTAATGTTACATAACTCTCAAAAAGCCACTAAGCTGAGGCTCAGACAGGTGGAGAAAAAAAGGACTGATTTACAGATCTACAAGATGACCACAGAGGTGGTTTTTTGACCCCATTTTTAAAAAAAAAATTGTCTATGATGACAACTATTATTATTGTTATTTTTACCGATTGTGGCAGTGATATTGTTATTATTATTCTCATTACTACTATTATTATTGTTATTATTCTCATTACTACTA